GAGAGTGAATCATCGGATGGAAGATCTTCCTCTCTGTCTCTCCTCCTCTCTGTATATCTGACTTTCCAATAAAATAAATCTTTAAAAAAAAAAGAGAGAGAGAAAAACAAAACAAAACAAAGAAAAACTATTCTCTGTCTGTAGGATGAAAGGTTCCAAAGATACCGATAAGTCCACTTGCTCTTTTGTCTGGAAGAATTCTGTTTCCTGTTGAATTTCTGTTTCACGGATCTGTCTTTTGATGTTAATGGGGAATTATGGCCCCCCACTGTTATTGTATTGGGAATCTATTTCACCCTTTAAATCCATTAATATTTGTTTCACGTAACAAAGTGCCCTGGCATTTGATGTGTATAAATTTATAATGTGATCTCTCCTTGCTGGATGGATTCTTTGATCATTATGTGATGTTCTTCTTCATCTCATTTAATGTTTTTCATGTCAAAGTGTATATTATCTAAGAGTGCTACAGCCACTTGCTTTTCCTTTTCATTAGTCTGGAATATCTCTTTCCATCCTTTCACTTTCAGTTTCCACTGATCTTTGTTGGTGAGATGTGTCTCTAGTAGCTGCAGATAGATAGGTTTCGTGTTTTGCTCCATTCCACTAATCTATGACATTTGATGGGTTTAATCCATTTACATTCAGGGTTATAATGATTTTGTATTTGATTTTGTCATTTTAGCAATGGATTGTTCTTTGATTTAGTCTTCTGTTGTCCTTTTTCTGAGATGCTCTCCACTTTTGCCTGTTGGCAGGTGCTATTCCTTTTCTCTGTTGAGAGAACATTTTAAAGTATTTTTTTGTAGGGCAGGCCTGAAAGAGGTGAATTCTTTGAGCTTTTCTTTACTATGCAAGGATTTTATTTTATGTTCAAAGACAAAGGAAAGTTTTGCTGGGTATGTTATTTGGGGCTGACTATTTTTCCTTTTAGGATTTGGAATATATCACTTCATTTTCTTTTGGCCTGCAGTTTCCTGTGAGAGGTCAGCTGTGAGTTTGATTGGAGTTTTTCTATAGGTCAGTTGATTTTTTTCACGTGCTCAATATAGTTAACTGTGGTCACCATGAAGTACAATTGGTCATTAAACTTATGCTTCCACCCTCTAACATTGCACCCTTTGATGAATACATCTCAGACCTCTTCTTCCTCAGATCATGATTTTCTTACAAGAGATTAAAAAAAATCTGCATGACTTATTGCATTTTTGAAATCCTCATTAAGAAATGATTTGTCTTAATTTTTAAAAATTTTGGATTTGGAATTGATTTCTTGTGTTAGTTTGGACCAACTTTTCTGTATTTGGAGAATGAAATCCTTTTTTAAAAAATACATGAATCACATAATATTCCTGAGCTTTGAACTTATCAAATGAATTGCAATTGTTAAGTAATATTTTGTTAATCAGATATATGTATTTTATTAATCATATGTGTATATGGTATATAGAGTATGTGTACATTTTAATTGCTAATCAGAATAACCACACAAATTATGAGGGAAAATAAATCAATAAAGGTTTTTGATAGTGGTTCAGCATTACTGGTTTTACTCCAACTCCTCAGATTATATAAGAGAAAATTTGGGCATAGGTAGAAAAAATTCCCTGTGTACCCTAACTTTTTATACAGCTTTAGTTTTTGCTAAACTACTTAATTGATTATTTTCTTAAATGCTCTGACTTTTTGATGTTTTCTATGTCCACACCCTTGGAAAATTTCCTAGTCTTCCTTATTAAACATGCTCAAACATCTCTCGTATTAAACAAAAAGCCTGCTAAACCAGGCTCTTGATCAGTTTGTTTTACAAGTCGTTTAAACCCTTGCTATCTCTTAATCTGCAGACTATACCGAAGTATGGGTTGCAGGACAGGTAGTAACTTGTCGAGTCTCTGGGGATACAGTATGAAGGAGAGATACAGGCTTTTGCTCAGAGGCTTTCTTCTCACTCTTGGAAACTACAGGCCTTGTAGAAAGAGCAAGAAGACCGCTTTGTGTCCAGAATCTGGTTAGTATTAAGGGGAAAGAGAGGGGACAGATTGTAGGGGGCTTTTAATTAGTGTAAAGAGTTTAGATACTCATTTATTCCGTGTGATGAAAGCCGCTGTGGCTGTAGTAGGCAGTGACAACATCTGATTTATATTTTAAAATTATCACTCTGCTGTTGTGTGGAGAATGGATTATAGAGAACAGGAATGAAAGAGGTTAAACCATTTAGGACCGTTTGAGTGGTTCAGGAGGAGCTGATTGATGTTTTATTCCAGAACTTAGCTTATGAATTTAGGAGAAGATCTAAGGAAAAGGAGAGACATTCAAACTATTGTATTCAAAAAGGATGAAGCCATAAATGCTGTCTATATTGTTAAAAACCGGTGTGGACTCAGTTTGGTCCCTGGCTTCAGTGTGTTTATTTAATACACTAGTTCCTTATGGAGATAATGTTTTCACTTGACTTCAAACACTTTTATTGCTAATTGTAATTTTAGGCACACTAAATTGTGTTTTGGCTTCTTCACTTTTGGGAAGAGAGATAATATTGTACTGACCACGTAGATAGCTGTAATAATTGAGTAAGAATTTGCAAATACATAGTTACTTGGCACAGTGTCTTGCACAGAGTTAACTCACTGTAAGTGTCACAGCAGCAGCATTGTTATTCTGGAGTGACACTTTCCTTGAGCTGTCTCCCCTTCGGTGGTGGCTATTCTTTCTTGCTTGTTTTTTTTTTTTTTTTTTTTTTTTTTTGCTACTTCTTTCTTCTCCAGCTCATCACTAAAGTCTCAAATTCCTCAGGGTTCTTGTGTTTTCTTATTTAGTGTTTTTTGCTAGATTATCTTATTTACTGCATGGCTCTAGTTCCCGCTGTAAACAGTTAATTTCTCCCACATCTGCCCACCAGCCCACTTGTCTTTCTGAGTTGTAGCCCATACATTCACTTGCCTCTAACTCGTATGGCTTTGCATGACTGTGTCTTAGGCACCCGAGACATGGACATTGGAACGAAATGGACTTTTTTTGGTGCTTTCCTGTTTTCTAGAGTAGCTTAGTAAATGGTGATACCATTTGCTTCATTGCTGGAATCAGTCCTGGAGTAATCTTACATTAATCCGTTGTATTTCTACAGTAGTTGGTAATTAGTCCCTGACCCAGAGGCACTCCCATCCCTTTTCCACCTTTGGTCATGTTAATATACATTTTCAGATCTTATCATGTTCCTATCTTTTCCTTAGTTACCTTTCCTTTCAGGGTGAAATTCCAAGTTCTTACCATGACTTCCAAGATTTGCTTCGTTATCTCCATAATTCCCCGATGACAACTGCTGCGTTCCTCCCGAATTTATTCTAGCTAGACTGGTCTTCTTCCATTAGCTTCAGTAAGCTACATTCACTCTTCCCTTAGAGCAATTGTTAAGCTCTTTTCCTTACCTCAACACTTTTTTTTTTAAAAGATTTATTTATTTTTCTTGGAAAGTCAGATGTACAGACAGGAGGAGAGACAGAGAGAAAGATCTTCCCTCTGATGATTCACTCCCCAAGTGGCCGCATTGGCTGGAACTGGGCCAATCCAATGCCAGGAGCCAGGAGTCCCCTCCTGGTCTCCCGTGCGGGTGCAGGGTCTCAAGGCTTTGGACCATCCTTGACTGCTTTCCCAGGTAGGGCCACCAAGATTAGAATCGCCATCCATATGGGTCCCCAGCACGTTCAAGGTGAGGACTTTAACCTCTTGGCCACCACGCCAGGCCCTTATCTGAACATTTCTTTCTTCGCTCTTAAACTGGGCAGCATCCTTATCCTCTTAGTGGAAATGTTACTTCTTCCCCATATCCTTCATACCAGATTACTGCGTCTACTGTCTAAGAACGTTATTCTCTTTGCCTCTATGTAATATTCCTTATGCTTATTGATAATATTATTAATTATTGATACATAAGCTTCACGGGGGGGCAGGAATTGTATGTTTTTAAACAAAGATTTATTTATTTGAAAACTGGGGTTAGAGAGAGAACAAGAGAGACAGAGACAGAAACATTGAAACTATGATCTTTTGTTTCACTCTCTAATGTCATAACAGCCTAGGCTGAAGCTTGCTAAGGCCAGATGCCAGGACTGAACTCAGGTTTCACATGTGTGTCACAAGGACCTAAATACTGTCAGCATCACTGCCTCCCAGGGTGCATGTTAGCAGGAAGCTGGAATCAGGAGCAGAGCTGGGACTTGAACACACACACATACTCCACTGTGGGATGCAGGTGTCCCAAGTGGCATCTTAGCCATTGTATCTTATGCCCACGTGACTGTGATTTCTTATTTATCATTTTATTCTCAGTTTTGTTAAAGAGTGGAGAGTGAATACAATATGGGCTCACCCCAGTTAGGGAATTAGAGTCCTTCTAGCTGATTGTGGTGTATGCTTTTATTAGTCTTTTGGGGAATTATAAAACTATAACAGAAAAGTTCAGGTTTAGTATAGGTTTGCTTTCAGAACTCCAGGAGCCACTGCATAGAGGGTAAAAAAGGTAGTGTCAGAGGTGAAGGAAACTCTAGCAAGAAAGTATTGCCTTTTCAAGGATAGTTTTTTCCGATCTTTCCCAGGTTTGTCTGTCTTTTTCCAAAGTCTTCATGGCAGTGCTTCCTAAATTCTTTGTAAGCCAGAATGGAGCATTGGCATGGAACCCGTTTTGAGGGTGCATTCCACTTCCAGGATCAGAAGTGCTGGCCAGAGTTACATGTTTTATCTAGGTATACCCTGTGCTGGTTCTTTTGTTCGTTTTGTTTTGTTAAGGGAAACTTCAAGAAAGCATTTATTTGAAAGGCAGAATGACAGAGAGAAAGGGAGAGACAGGGAGACATAGAATCTATCTACAGGTTTACTCCTTAAATGCTGGCAAGAGCCAGAGTTGGGCCAGACAGAAACCATGCCTCGGAACTCCATCTGGCTCTCTCGAACGTGGGTGGCAGGAACACAGATGTTTGGGCCATCATCCTCTGCCTGCCGAAGCATATCATTAGGAAGCTGGATTGGAGGTCAAATAGCCAGAATTGGAACCTGGCACTCTGATAGGATATGCGGGGTTCCTAATTAGTGTCCTGAGCAACACCCACCCCACTGTGCGTGATTCGGCTCTCCGTAAGCTGTGATCTATCAGCACGTTGACTTTTCTCCCCTGGGAGAATCTGTTGGATTCTCTTGCACTAACTTGCAGGAAGAGTGTAAACTTGTACGAAAGGTGGCCCTTTTCTTCAGTATAGCCTTTCTGCACTTTAGCTAGTGAAATTTTTTTCCAAGATGTTGTTGTCAGTTTCCAGTGCTACTGTAGGTTTTCCTTTGTTCTTAAATTCTGTTATTTCAGTGGAAATCATGGGTATCTGATTTGAAAAGCATGGGTCAGTTCCCTTTTGAAAGTTATTTGTGTGGCCGTCTTTTTCTTGATGTCTGTGCATGTATGCCAAGTGATCTTTTTTCTCTCTGCTTTCTGCTTTCATTTTCACCCCTCTAAGTTGTTTCATTTTCTTAGATCACTTATGTGTCACTGAAATATTAGAGGACACTCTTTACCTTGTTTTATGTTTTTTTTTTCCCCCCACGATGTTTCCTCTTTGGTTTTCATTTTTTCTTGTCATATAGTTTCTATATTTTGTTCATGTCTGTCTTTAATAGGAATTATTTCAGTGTTATGACCTTAAAAAAGGTTTCAAACCACCGATGAGACTTAATTTAATTACCAAATTAAAAAAAGTATACAGTATTTGCACTACAGGAAGCACTTAGGATATTTAAGTCAATTCTATAGATAAACATGATTATTGTTAAATTATTATTTTATATTGCATATTCTCCTTTTCAGTATTTTAAAATATTTATGGGAGAGAGAGAGAACCATAAACCTTACCTATAAACTCACTTGCCAAATGTCCGCAACAACTGGGGCTGGGTTGATTTGAAATCAGGAATTAAAAAATCAACTCAGGTCTCCCATGTGGAGGGCAGGATCTTACTACTGTTTCCCAGAGTCTGCTTAAGTAGAACTGGTGTCAGCTGGAGCCAGGAATTGAACCCAGGTGCTCCAAGTGGGACAACGAAGTCCTAATCAGGGTCTTTGCTTATATGGATTTTTATTTTTGTCACTTAATTATGTACAGATGCTGCATTCTGTAATTAGCACAAATTGATCTTGACTTCACCATCCTTAAGGGCATATTGGTTTATGTAGCATTTTCCTAAAGTCCACCTTGAATTGGTGTCTTTTTTAATTTCATTTTTGGCAGGGGAGGAAACTTTGCTCTAAAAACTTCTGTTATCTGAGAGAATTAAAGACTATCAGATGACATGTTAACTTTACCTCGCAGAAAAACATTTAATTGATGCAAGTATTCCAGAAAAGCACAATTAGGCTGGGCAATTTCTGTAGCATAATCTGAATGGAAATAATATAAATATGAATATAAAAATGCTATATAGCATAACAATCAGAACAGTGGAATTTACTGGCATTCAGATGACAGATTAATAATAGTCACAAAGTTATTTCTGAGAGTTCAAGAACCTCTAATGCTGTAGATAATTCTTGAAGTCATAATGTGAGTTTAACTTCAAGACTTGGAACAGTTTCATCTTTGCATGAGAGCATGTGATTCTGGCAATTTTGGTTAAATTAGAACCGTATTTTGTAACTCTTACTGAATCATTGAGCTGATGCATGTTAAAATAGATTTTTACTGAAGCAATGGATTTAAAAACTTTATGCACATTTACATCTTTTTATTTCCTCTTTCCTCTTCCTTTTTAAATTTTCAGTAAAGATAGAAACTAAATGAGCACTTTGCCAGGGGCATGTAAAAATATTATTGCTTTTTACTCTTCCAAGAGTTTATTTGTGTTATTTTTGATATACATTGTGCTGATGAACTGATTAATTGGATATCAATTAATTTGCCCAGGATTTCTCAGCTGGCTAAGTGATAACCAGACTTCAGATGCAGTTTTTACTCTTCCTGCATATTACAAGGCCTAGAAACAGTAAAGGGCTTAGTCCTATGACCTCTAGGACCCAATGCCCAAAGAGGGCGAAGATGGAAGTGCCGACATTACAGTTCAATTATATTACAAAATCTATTGAGCCTTCATTTTATAGAGATGAATGATCGCTGCCTGCTTTCAAGGAGTTTTAAGTGAGGCAGTTTTAGAAACCTAAAGTTCTAAACTGTAAAGGTACGTATAATACTGGAGATGATAATTTCTTATAAGGTAGAAAGTAGCGTAGGGAAAGAAGTGACTCATTTTCTAGTGGAAGTGTTGGGGCAAAGGAAGTGAGGAATAGCAGAGAAAGAGATGATATCTAAATATGTCTTATATATAAAAGTACCTTGCCCAGAGTTGGTAATGTCTTCCAGTGGATTTGGAAGTTAAACAGTATCTGTTCTGTTTATAATATGAGGGATATGGTTGGTGTGGTGTTGGTAGAAGGTGTGTGTGGAAAAACTAAGTGGTTATTTGTCATTAGAACATAATGTTTGTTTGCTTATTCAGAAATGTATATCAACTGCCTGCTAAGATTTAGGTGTTATGTGAGATACGATAGAAAAAGGACCAGAGAGTTCATGGGTTACACCAGCCTGGTAGCTTTGGGGATTGAAATTATGCATGTAGGAAAATAAATGAACCCAGGAGATGTTGAATGCCAGTATAGATAGGTGGAATTTCCTCTGGGGATGCTAATGAGACCCACAAGCGTGGGGAGCATTGCTGTGACTTCATCCAGGCCAGCAGGGAAAATGTGAAGAGATTAAAGGCAGGAGCACTGGTGACTGTTCCAGCTGACAGGTGAAAGGAGCAGTGTCTTGGAATTGAAGCTGCACTTGACGTTGTGTGGTCAGTCTCATGTCTGTGATTTTAGTGGCTGAGTAAAAGCAGGCATACAGAAGTGATAATAAATTAGAGGAAAAAGAAATGAATTGATATTTGGATATGATAAACAGTTTGAAATATTTGTGGAATCCCAAGTTCTTAAAAAATATTCACCTAAAAGTAATATTGAAAAGCACTGTAGGACAAGGCAGGGAGAAGATTTTGCAAAATATTTTCTTTGACTTTGTAACTTCATTGGTAACACTTCTGTCCTCCCCAAACCAGCATCATGTTGAACAGTGTTGATCACAATATTTACGTTCCCAAATACTGTAAGCCTGGGTATGGAAATTAAAAAAAAAAATCAACATTCTCTGAAATGTATGGAATCCTGAAAATTATACCCCTGGAAGACTAAAAACCTTAATGTTAGATCCTGAAAGCTGACATTCCAAGAATCATAATTCCTATTTTTTAAAGTACTGTATGAGAGGAATACAGAGACAGAACCCGATTAAGGGATTAGCCACATGGAAGTGATGAAAACTTTAGTTGAAAAGTGCATCATTTGTCTACATAGCTATTCCTTCCAGCAGATGAAATTCCGAAAGAATTTATTCAATTGAAAGTGCATCTGTAGGCCAGACTTGGTAGCCAGTGGCTGAAGTCCTTGCCTTGTAGTCACCAAGATCTTATAAAGGCACCAGTTCCTGTCCTAGCCACCCCACTTCCCATCCAGCTACCTGCCTGTGGCCTGGGAAAGCAGTCAAGGATGGCCCAAAGCCTAGGCACCCTGCACTCATGCAAGAGACCAAGAACAGGCTCCCGGCTCTGGCTTCAGATCAGCACAGCTCCGGCTGTTGCAGCCACTTGGGGAGTGAATCAATGGATGGGAGAGCTCCCTCTCTGTCTCTCCTCCTCTGTGTATATCTGACTTTCTAATAGAAAAAAATAAATCTTTAACAAAAGGTATATCTGCCTTAGGAAGCCACCAACGTTACCAGCTAGTCCTAAAACAATTATGTGCATGGTGGGAGCAACAGTTAACATTTGTTGTTGTTAATTGCCAGTGTCCTTTCTGCCAATTATCTGCTTGCATGCAGAATGCATTTCTGAGTGCCGCAAATCATAGAAGCATGACAGAGAAGAAGGGAAAGTTTCATAGAAAATACTTATGTCAGTGTACCTGAATCAGAAGAATTTGAGAGTGTAGTGCTGTGAGACAGAATACGAAAATATTCCTTAAAAAGTACCACTCATGACAATATAAGATTTCATTTTAAATTTTATTTTTAATATTGTTTACACAGTTGAGGGGGTTGCATGCCCTGTGGGTCTCTTATTAGGATGGAAAGGGTTGGGGTATGAGGAAGGTGGGAGGGACAAATATTTTTTTTGTTCCTCCTACGTCTGCAAGGAGGAAAGGAGGGGGGAGTCACTCCTTGCTGTCAAACTACATCAGCACTCAGGGCTGGGGAGGATGGCCATTTGATGAGTGTTTCTGATAGTTCTGAGACATTGTTGGCTGTTTTGCACCAGAGTTGAGAAAATCTTTCCAAGGTTTATTAGTTGACCAAGTCTACCTTGGTGCATCCACAGACCCAGGAACATGTTAAGGTTGGTCAGAAGAGTGGTCGAACCTGTTCTGCTTTCCATCCTCCTGCTTGCCTCTGCTCTACTGGCTTAGATGAGCTGACCAACATGTCCCCTGTGTGCATCCACACAGGCATTGGCAACTGAGGCAGCCCAGTCCCAATTCATGCACTCCCAGGTTGGACCAAAATATATGATGATTTTTACTGTGGCTTGGGTTTGAGTCTAGTAGTCTAGTTGAGGAGTCCCAATGAAACCTTACCTGGGATGAGCTTAAACTTGACTCTTGTGCGTTCCAGACAGTGCAGGGTCAAGTTTGGTCCATCACCTGTGTCAGCCAACACACATACTGGTGTATGCAACTGCCTGGTCAGTTCTGCTCGCAGCCCCATTTCTCATGCAAATTGATGGATGTTGTATCTATCCTAGCCCAGCCTGCCACAGGCCTGGTCTTAACTCACACCAGTGGGAGCTAAGAGCCTAGTCAGGGTGACCCCCCAATAACCCTTACTGGGTCTGCCACCAGCCCTAGATTTTGTGTGCTGGCATGGGCTCTGGCCTAACCAGGTCCATCATGCAACCCATCTGACTCTCGTGCATAGGTATGGGTGCTGCAGCTTAACTTAGCTTGATCCACCCCCAAGGCTCATCCAATACATATGCTTACATTGGCTGCAACTTTGAAAGGCAAGCCTGCTACCAGCCTTAGCACTCATGCTCACCAGTGGGAGCAGAAGCCCACCAGGGAAATACCCACAGTTCCCTATGTGGCCTACTTCCAGCTGTTATCTTGTGCCTGCCAGGGAATACTGCTGTCCAGCCTGACATGACTTACACCCAGTCCTGGCACTTGTCAGGGGGTGTTGCAGCTTAGCTCAGCTGGCATACATACATTCTGGCACTTGTGTGTACCAGTGGGCACAGCAGTCTAACCCAACCTGGCCCACCTCCAGAAAGGCCTGCCCCCAGTCCCAGCTTTCATTATTACCAGTGGAAGCAGCAGCCCATCAAGAGTCCTTGAAGTTCCATTACCAGACCTGCTGCCAGGCCTGGATCTTGCACATGCGAGCAGGTACTGCTGGTCTGTTTGAGAAGGCCTGCCCTCAGTCTTAGCACTTTCCAGCAGATGCTATACCCTGGCTCAACTTGGCATATCACTAGTCCCAGTTGTCTCCAGTGGGTACAACAGCATAACCCAGCCTGGCCTACCTCCCAGCCCTCCTGGTAGGTGTTATGGTCCAACCCAGCCTGGCCTGTAACTGTTGTGGCACTCAGTTGTGCCAGTGTGTGCTATATGTTGTAGGCTAATCCTGCCTGGCCTGCCCCAAAACCCAGCTCACACATGTGCGGACATGCTGCAGTCCAGCCTTACATGGCCTGTCCCTAGCACCAAATCTCACACTCACAGGCATGAGCTGCTGCCTAGCAGGGGTGTGCCTACAGTTCCTTTACCATGCCTGCACCCAGCCTTGAATCTTGCACTTGCGCGGAGGTGCTATGGTCCAGCCTGACATAACTTACACCCAGACCTGGCACTTGCCAGTGGGTGCTGTGGCCTAGCTTGGCCAGCCCACACCCACTCTGGCTCTTGTGTAGGTCTTCAGGTGCGGCACGAGAACTTTAGGGACTCCCGTGCTGGGCTGTAGCTACCAATAGGGAATGAGAGATCCTGGATTAAACTAGACTGGATAAGGCTGAAGCACCTGTTGGCATGCCTGTGGGCTGCGTCTGGGAGTTAGTCAGATTGGGCTAGGCCCCAGCAAATGCTGGTGCCCACTAGAGCCAGAATGAGTATGGAACAGGCTGGGCCATACCAGGGCACCCACCAGTTCACATGAGAGCCAGGTCAGGGGCTAGGTCAGGTTTTTGATGGCTGCATGACAGATGTTGGCTTAATGTAAAAATAAAGGAAAATAGTGTGTGTATTGGCAATGATCTTTAAAAATGCATGAATAAAATGAGTAATATAAATTAGTATATAATTCATTTTATTCAACTTTTAAGATCAGTACAGAAGAAATTTGTTAATGTTGCATTTATTGCAGCAGAAGTTACAAAAAATGTTGAAACTTCATATTTGCTGTGTGGACATTTTGAAAAACATTGAAAATGGTCTGGGAGTAGCACAGGGATCGTTTCTTTTGATTTATATCATTTGTTTTCCTCATCTTAAACATTGAATAAAATGTTTGTTTCAGTTCTTAAAAAAAGAAAAGTGGAATAGAATAGGCAACTATGCTAGCACACTGGTATACCAAACAAATTTGGCATTAATCAGGCCCAGAATGGCCACCAGCCTTGCCTGCTTTTCTTCTAACAGTGTAAAACTTAACTAGATACAAGGCAGCCTAGGCAGTTGTGTGCAGCTGGGGAGCAAATAGGAAGATTTTAACAGATTCAGCATGGTGCATAGGTAGAATTTTTTTTTTTTTATTGGAAAGGCGGATATACAGAGAGGAGAGACAGAGAGGAAGACCTTTCGTCCGATGATTCACTCCCCAAGTGAGCGCAACGGCCGATGCTATGCCGATCCAAAGCCAGGAGCCTCTTCTGGGTCTCCCACACGGGTGCAGGGTCCCAAAGCCTTGGGCTGTCCTCGACTGCTTTCCCAGGCCACAGGCAGGGAGCTGGATGGGAAGTGGAGCTGCCAGAATTAGAACTGGCGCCCATATGGGATCCCGGGCGTTCATGGTGAGGACCTTATCTTATCCACTGTGCCACCGCGCCGGGCCCGCATAGGTAGAATTTTGAGGATGTAATGGTATTCCTTTTCTCCAACCCCCTATTCCTCCCCCCCCTTTTTAAAGCTTTTTGAGATAATATATTTTATTTCTATTTTTTTAAAGATTTATTTTTATTGGAAAGGCAAGGATACAGAGAGGAGCAGACAGAGAGGAAGATTTTCCGTCTGTTGATTTACTCCCCAAGTGACTGCAATAGCTGGAGCTGTGCCAGTCTGATGCCAGGAGCCAGGAGCCTCTTCCAGGTCTCTTGCATGAGTTCAGGGTCCTAAGGCTTTGGGCCATCCTTGACTGCTTTTCCAGGCCACAAGCAGGTAGTTGAATGAGAAGCCGGGCAGCCAGGACAGCAGCCGGCGCCCATATGGTATACCGGCGTGTGCAAGGTGAGGACTTTAGCTGCTAGGCTACTGTACCAGGCTCAAGATAATATATTTTAAATTTGCTTTGCAGTTAAAAAATTTGATGCTTCATTGAGTAAGTAGTTTAATATGTAAGAGGCAGAATTTTAACGGTAAATTTTTAGAGTCTGAAACATTGTGAGTAAGGTGTGAAGTAGCTCTCTACAAGCCTTTAATGTCAGAATGTGAGACAAGAGCTGCATATTCTGGCCAAAATAAGAATCTCTTCAGGATGTTTTGCAATAAAAGTGATGATTAACTGTGTAGAAGCTGTGGAGTTCTCAAGGTTGTCTCATTGCCTTTGACATTGGACTTCTCATGGAGATTATTTCCTTAAAGGACATTAGTCTGGCACACAAGGATCCTGCCCTTGAGAAATGTTTTTCAAAATGATTATTCATTTTTTATTTATTGGATAAGCAGAGAGAACATGCTCTCCACCTGCTGGTTCACTCCCAAGCAGCATGGTCCACCATTCGGTTCCCCCATGGGCATGAAAGGGGCCCAAGTAGCGTTTCAGGATGTACTAGCAGGCAGTTGGATCAGTTGTAACTGGGACTTAGACCAGCAGTTTGATATGGGATGCGGGGGTCCCAAGAAGTGGCTTAATGTATGCTGCAATGTCCAATCTCCTTGAGTTTTTTTGATGTAGAAGAATCCCAATGGATTCACTTGTACTATGTACTCATTGTTTACCAGGTGGGAGCTGTTCTCCATGTCTCATTACTCCTGGATCATGTTAAACGGAGAAGCTACCATCTAATTATAGAACAGTTTTGTTCCCTGTTGCAGAAGGAAAGAAAACTCGAGAGGGTTTCACAGCAACAGCCAAGTGCTCTGGCTGGGAAGTGATACTGTTGCCATTTCTGCTCACAATTTATTGTCCAGAGCTGGTCACATGATCCCACTTAGCCACAGCAGAACCGAAAAGTGCATTCTTACTATGTTCTTGGAAAATAGACTGTCGGAAATACTGGGTGAAGAGAGCGCTTACCCAGAGCTGATATATGGGTTAAATGAAATCACATACATCTTGTAAAAATGCTTAAAAATGCTTATAATCAATAATAATCTCAGCACAATAAGATGTACAGGAGAAAACATGAATTACTAAAGACATCATTTTAAGGTTCTGAGACTATCATAATATATGAAAATACCTTACAAAAATATTGTACACATGTAAGTTGATATTATAATCATCTGATGTTAGAAGATAACAGTGTTAGAATGTGGTTCAAGATGGAGATAGAGCTTCGTAGTTATTAGGAGATGATGGCTAAAGTTTTAAGTGTAGATAAGATGTGCGGGAGTGAGAATGAACAATGAGAACTATGGAGAAAAACGGAGGAATAGACATGGAACATAATCACAGCCTGGAAATCAGAAGGAAATATCACAGATCGAGGATCAAGTTCCGGAAAGGAAGAAAATAATACCTGGAAAGTTAAAGGGAGAATGTTTTCAGAAAAGAAAATTAGTCATGTAAAATGCTACTAAGGTGCAGCCATTTGATCCCGTAGCGTGCCTGAGTTTGAAGCTCCTGACTCCACCTGATGTTAATGCCCGTCCTGGGAGGCAGTGATGCTGAATCAAGTGGCCGGGCTCCTGCCATCCACACGAGGTGCCTGGATTGAAGTCACAGCTCCCAGCTTTGGAGCCACCTCCTTACTGTTGGAAACGTTTACAGAGCAACTAGCAGATAGGGTCTCGGTCTCTCTCTTCCTTCCTCCTTTCTGCTCTCCCTCCCTCCTTCTCTCTATGCCTCTTAAATAGATAGTTGAAATAAATTAAAACTTTGTAGACCTTGAGCTTCAGCTCTACGAATTCTTGACGGTATTATTTTAGAAATGTCATGTGTGCCAGATGCTTCTCCAGTAGCAGTTTTGTGAGGAAGTTTTTAAAAAATTATTCTTCTTATTTTCTGTTTTACAATTTTACAGGCATAGGTCTTCCTCCCAACATTGTCCCCTGTGTTTTGTAGAAAAATAGTCCATCAGGTATAGTCTTGACTCCAGTTCTCTGCTCTTGACATGGGTCATGATGCTGTTGATATAGGCAATGGCATAAAGTTTAATATTTTGTTGTGTAGGAATATTGACAAGTTTCATGTGGGGGCTACATTTATTCAGTAGTAGAGATGCATTCTGTTGATTTTCTTTGATTTCTGGTACTCTGGTCTGCATCACATCGTTCATTTGTGAGATTACAAATGTGTTTGTTTACCTTAGTTTTTGTTTTGTATTTTGGATAGAGGTTGTCCTATGTTGGAGCAAATATGATATTTGTCCTTTTGGGATCATTTCACTGAGAATAATGGTCTCCATTTGGGGTCATTGGGTTGCAAACAATATAATTTCATTCTTTTTAATAGCTGAGTTGTATTCCATAGGGTAGATGTACCACAGGTGAGGAAGTTATTTTAAGCCCATTGTTAAGGATGAAATTTTCAAAACTAAGAATAAAGTTTGCAAAGTAAATCCCAGTCAATAACAGGTTGAATTTGAACTCAGACTAGAAAAGCAAAGTCAAAATATTGTATGAAAACAATAAAATGGAATAATCAGAAATCTAGAAAATTCTGAAGGTATTTTTATAATAAAATTGATTTATGTACATTTTAATTATTAGAAAAACTTTAGATGTAACATATGTAATGAAAACAACTTGGAAGTTAATTTGCATTTTAGAATGAAAATACTTTGTTTTGTATTGGTTAAAAAAGATATGTTAGCTCTGCTTCACTGTTGGTGGGAGTGTAGGCTAGCACAGCCACTGTAGGAGTCAGTATCGAGAGTGCTAAGACAACTGAAAATTCATGTATTATATGACCCAGCTATCCCGCTTCTGGAAATATACCCAAAGGAAATGAAATCTGCATATGAGAAAATGACCTGTAATCCTATATTCCTATGGAATTGCATCATGAAAAAAATGTTTTAAAATACTAATATGAGAATGATCAAACATGTATATTTAGATACTTAAAGGGGTCATAGGAGAAAAGTTGAATAGTAACAATAGGATCTTTAAAAAGACGAACTTGTAAAAAACATTTATTTTTTAATTTGAAAGGTAGAGTTAGAGAAGAGAACAAGATAGATCTTCCATCCACAGGTCACTTCTGAAGGCTGTACTGGCCAGAAATGGACTGGTCTGGAGCCAGGAGCATTCTCTGGGCTTCCCATGTGGGTGTAGGGACACAAGAATTTGAGCCAAACTTGGCTGCTTTCCCCGGCACGTTAGCAGGGAGCTGGATCTAAAGTGGAGCAGCCAAGTCTCAACTTGGCTGACATTGCAGGCATTTATCTTCTTTGCCACAATGTGAGTTCCGTGGTTGGCTTTTTTTTTTTTTTTTAATTTTCCTTTTATGACAATTTTATAGGCTCTGGGATTCCCCCAGTCTCTCCCCATGCCCTCCTCCCATGTTGAATTCCTCCGCATTGTTGCAGTGTTACAGGTCATATCCAGTCATGATTCCTTCATTGAGAGCCTGTACCGTGCATAGAGTCCAGTCTCTTATTGTCCTGATAAGTTCGATAGTTTCCTTGGGAGATCATCCCTGGTCTGAAAGTAGAACTGGCAGAATGTCATCCCCTCCTATGAAAGTCCACAACACAACATCAACAACAAGTTACAACATCATGGAGTTAATTGACATGGTATTGTGTGATCCATATGTTAGAAAGTGCGGGTTCGTAACCACATCCTGTGACTACGTCATTGACATTTCAAGTTTAGTTTATATACAACTGGCTGCTCTACACTTTAAAATGGTTATAGGGTACTATTCAGCTGTCTCGTGTCTATTTTCATTATTATATTTAGCAGTTTATAGTATTGAAGCATGATTTTTAGTGAACTTGGTGAAATTTAGTATAGTACAAACAGGGTTATAGCTCTAACAAGGCATATGTTCAAAATGTTCTGTACTTGTTACGTGTGAGTTAGAGAGAAAATGGGAGAGACAGAGATCTTCCAATGCTGATTCACTCCCCAAATGATCATAATAGCTTAGCTAAACCAGGCCAAAACCAAGAGCCAGGAGCTTCATCAGAGTCTCCCACATGGGAACAGGTCCCAGGTACTTGGGCTGTCTTCCACTGCTTTCCCAGACACATTACCAGGGGGCTGGATTGCAATTGGAGCCATTGGAACTTAAACCGGCTCCCATGTGGGATGCCAGTCCTGCAGATGGCAGCTTAATCCACTATGGTATGCCACAGGGCTGCCTGCTGCCTTCTAATACAGATCCTAAGAGGCAGAGCTGATGGCTCAAGTAGGCAGGTTATTGCTCCTCCCTTGGGAGACCTGGAATGAGTTTTTTGTTCTTGGTTTAGGCTTGGCCCAGTCCCAGCTTTCAGGCATGTTGGGAGTGAACCAGTGGATGGGGCAGAAACTCTGATACATTTTTGAAATTAAAAAATAGTAAAGGCTAAAAATGAAAAATCGTCT